CTATAAGACTTGGTAACAATTAATTATATGATAGCATAATATCTTACATGCCAAAACTGCTATTCACAAGCAACTTCTATATTTACAACCTCTATTTCAATTTATTTGCAACATTACCATAAATGGACACTATAAATTATTTTATAAATTATTTGCAACAAATGTTTTCTTTCCTTTTTTAATTGTCATATCTTTCTATCTATCTCCTCATCACATGCAACTTTATTTTCTCTCTCCATTAATCACTCTCAAACAAATTTTACCTAAAACTGGTTAATGTCACATCGTTGCAAATAAATTGAAATGGAGATAGTATTTATCTTTCCAGACCAAAAGCTCCCCCCTTGAAATTTGTCCCTAATGGACATAATTGACTTTATTTACCTTCATGTGGACATTGTTTCATGTCAACTCATGATTATCTATCTTTAAAATTCATGCTTTATCTGTTATTCTTTACAGATATGTATTGGAATCAGACCATTTGAAGAAATTCTTTGAATTCATTCAGCTCCCAAATTTTGACATTGCTGCTGATGCTGCTGCAACTTTTAAGGTTGGGCATTTTTCTCTATGTAGATCCTTTCTTTCTTACTATCTGATCGCCAGAATGAATATGGTTTCTTTATGACGTTTTTATAAAATTGGGATATCTTGTGTCTTGTCTGAAAATTTTAGGAAAGCTTCAGGTACAGGTCATTGTGTATGCTACACATGTATTATGTGTACCTGAAGTTCTTCCAGATCTTGGTTATATTTGTTAGTTACTTATCTATGTCCTAGCTAAACTTAAGTTATACGAAGTATGTCAAGTATGCTTCAGTTTTTTACACTGTTATGGCCATGATGCAGGAACTCTTGACCAGGCATAAATCCACTGTAGCTGAATTTCTTACTAAGAACTATGATTGGGTAAGACAATATACATCTCCTTCTTTTTGTATGTTGGTTGTAAAAATGGCCAGAAACTATGTTACTACGTACCATGTACCTCAATATGAACTATAACACAAGTTAGATCAGTGTTACTTTATTTGTTAATCCTCTTATGAACCGATAACGGCATATTACATGATAATTGTACTTTTTGGCTTAATTTTTGTCTCGTACCCTATGTTGTACTAGTGAATTAAGTAACAGTGAGTTAGATATGAGGAGTAATTTCTAGTTTGAGAATCTTGCAAACATAGAATTAGTGTTGGGAGATTATGGGCTTATTGAGTTCAAAGTCTCTAAAAGGAAGTCTTCGGAGTTGCCTTATCTTACGTTGTTTGATTTAGTTGTTTTCATCACTCTATTCATCTATTTTATTTGAGTTTCTTCAGTGTGATACTGATTTTCTGAGTTCATTACATGTTCCAGTTTTTTGCAGAGTATAACTCAAAATTGCTGGAATCTACCAACTACATTACCAGAAGACAAGCAGTCAAGGTATTTAGAATGGAATCAGTAATTACTTAAGTGGTTTCATGGTTACACAAGAAGCACAACTGCCTGGGAAGTTGTAAATTGGGGAAATTTGAGGTTAACTATAGAAACTACTTAAGAAGTTCCACTTCTCATAAAAGTGGGAAGTTTTTAACTATTTCCCCTAGGTAATTGGAATGGTTTTAAGGAGTAGAACGCATAGGAATTGCTAGTTCTTTGACCTTGTAATTTCCTAAGATCAACCAAATGTGAAATGACCACTAGTATTTTTCATAATTTAGTCTACTTTTTCTTGTAAATTTGTGTTATCATTTGATACATAATTTGGTAAAATTTTCTTTTCCAGGATTGGATGAGTGCTAATTTAATTGTTGCCACCATGTATTTGCTGATCCTATCTTCGTGTCTTTCAGCTCTTGGGAGACATGTTACTTGATCGCAGCAATTCTGCAACCATGACGAAATATGTGTGCTCCAGGGATAATCTACGGATACTTATGAATCTTCTAAGGGTAATTAATACTTGTTACTTAATTTTGTCTATGCCTCCCCCCCTCCTCCTCCTCCTCCTCCTCCTCCTCAATGGAGTAATCCCCAGTCCCCCAACCTGTCCCAATCAAAAAGTTATTAGAAAAGGCGTGTGTAATGGGGGATGGAGCAATGTATTGACACCTATCTGTTATTTGGAGTCTTTGTGAATGTTTCATGGTCCTATAGCCTTGATAGTGTATACTCTCAACTTTTATTGTGATGATGCAGGAGTCGAGCAAGACCATCCAGATAGAAGCTTTTCATGTTTTCAAGGTTGGTTTCAGCAATTTCACATTCTGATTATGAGTATCTGCTTTTACTGTGTTTGATCTGTTGTGTTTTCCAAACAGCTATTTGCTGCAAACCAAAACAAGCCAGCTGACATCGCTAACATTCTTGTTGCAAACAAGAGCAAGCTTCTTCGATTACTAGGCGAGCTCAAGACTGATAAAGGTATTTTTACAAACTTCTCTCCTTCCCTGAAGTTGGTATATTGACCATGTTCCATTCAGATCTTGGATCTGTTTTTCACAAGGATGGTTATTATTTTAGACTACCTTCCTGATTTCTGATTTATGGATTTGATGATTTTGTAGAGGATCAACAATTTGATGCTGACAAGGCTCAAGTCATGCAGGAAATTGCTTCTCTTGAACCCAAAGAGCTTGCATAAGCTATTTTTATTTATTGTTTGTGTATTATCATTTTCCATTGTATCCCCGGCTCTTTTTATCCTCCCATTGAGCCCTTTTTCCAAAACATAAACCTGTGGATTTAGCAGCACCGTGGTGTCCTCTGTTTGGCACTAGTATCTAATCGTTTACTGCTCTTTTATTATTTACCCTTTTCCCTTGATCCACAGATGTTAAGTAGAAGATAGCTTCCAGTTCTCAATATCTTCTAATTTTGAGTTAATTGAGAACACCCTTTGTAAAAAAAACGTCGAAGGTAAATATGGTTGATTTGACGAGTTCAAAGTGCAATACATCTTTCTTTAAGCACCAAATGATCATTGTGTGGCTTCTTCTATGTCATATTTCTGTTGATTTCCTTTCTAATACCCATGACTTGGGTTTGTCTCGTATCTTTTACATGCTTATATACCAAGGCTGCGTTTGATGCATTGGCTGGTTGACTAATACTAAGAACGATAAACAACTGACAATGATATATTGATTGTGTACTGAACGGTTTAGGGAACAGACGTTTAGCCTAAACCTGTCTAAACCCAAGTCTAAGGCGTATTTAGGATAATTCACTCGCTGTTAGTTGCCTAATTTTAACCAAGCGTTTGTACGGCTTTGAAAAGATTCTGGTGAGAGAAAATAATTTTGGTGTAGCTGAAAACTTACCTTTCATGTGGAGATGGAAGATTGAGCCGTGAGAAGTCACGGACCAAAAGTACAAACCAGCATATTGTTTGCAGATAGGCATATTCCAAGGGCTTGGTGAGGGTTATTCCATGTTCCATGTTATGGCCCTTTTGCAGCTTGAAACTTCCGACCTTTTTCTGAAAAATGAGAAAATGGAGAATAAAAAAATGAGAGGAAAATAAAGAAATAAATAAAGTACTAATTGGAGGAACTAATGACCAAAATGGGTGGTAATCCCTTCAAGCATTTTTTTTTTTTTTTTTTTTAACACGGCAAGATATGGGGATGCTTTTCCTATTACAGAGGGGTGGAGTGAGGATCGAATCCAGTTCACTCTTGGAGGAGATGGAGGGACTAACTGCCCCTCCACTCTTTGATCCTCAATCCCTTCAAGTAGTTATATATAATGGCCATTCATTTCTTTTCACCCTTGCAAGTGTTTGGTTCATGCCTATATACGATTAGAAGTGAAGTTGTTTACACGAGACATGTTGGAGATAGCTAAATTCTTTTGCTCCAATAGGATTTTTTTATTTTGGTTGAATTTCCTTTGGAACTTGTTTGAGTTTATTTTTTCCACCATTTCAATAATTATGAAGTGTATCTTAGTGTTTTTTTTGGATCGACTTAATTTAGTTGCCTTATTTTCCGTAGTAATATCTTTGGAACATAATCGTATTATCTTACGTAGTATGTGAAATTGCAAGGTGTTAGGACTGTTTTCTAATAATCAATAGTAGTTAGGTTATCTCTAACCATTCTGTTCAATAATAATAATAATAACTATGAATGGTAAGGCTTACCGTTGTGTTCTTTGCTACCGGTTGGGTGTTCCTTTGTTCTTCGTTTCGACACCGTGTTCTGCTTGCTCAAGGGTTTTTGATGGGGATATTTATGGGGATGTGTCTTGTGCTGAGATGGTGGGTATTAAAAATCGGCATAATGTTGTTCGTGATACCCTTGTTGATATTTGTTTTCGGTCTGAGATTTCTGCAAGAAAGGAGGTTAACGTTGGGTTGACCGGAGGGAACGATGAGACTCTTCGACCTGCAGATGTGTTACTTTATTCCTGGGACAAAGACCTTGATGTGTGTGTTGACTTGATGGGGTCTTCTCCTTTAACACAATGTGGGTTGTCTGACTTCGTTCCTAGTCGTGTTGTGTCGATTGCAGCTCAGCGAACGCGGGACAAGTATGAGGCGCGTTGTAGGGCTATTGGTTATGGTTTTCTTCTTTTCTCCTTTTCTTCATTGAGGAAATTAGAGAAAAATGTTGTTGCGTTGGTGAAGCGAACTTAGACGTTCGCTAGGACTCAAGATATTGGTGCTCGTGGAGCTGCTCACATATTCAATAGGATCGGGTTCGTTATAGCTAGAGGGGAAGAGCCCAGATTGTATCTCAACTCCTCACTAATTTCTTGTAATTCGGTTAATTTTATAGATTTTTGTTATTTTTCATAATAATAATAATAATAATTTACGACTATATGTGAATATACCTAGATGGATCTAACAAAAAAAAAACCAAAACAAAGTCCAAAACTTCGATTAAAAGAGGACGGAAATCCAGCATTGCGACAAACAAAAGAACAAAAGCTATGTTAAAAAAAAAACGGAAATCTAACGTTGCGATTAAAAGAGAAAAAAAAAAAAAGTAGAAAGCATATGCCATGATTGCCAATTTGCCATCCCGCTGTGTGAAACAAAACAAAGGGTGTATAAATAGATCACTGGTCAGACACTAACACCAGAAGGATCTAAAGCTCGCAGCATCACTGCATCGTCATCACATCGCCATTCACAACTCCCTTGTAAATTCAGAAAAATGGCTACCAATGGTATTTCCTACTTTACATATATAAAATTCAGTTGTAATTTCAATGAATTTCCTTAAATTTTTTCAAAGTCTTTAACTTTATTAATTTTGGGTGTTAAATTATGGTTAATAGAGCAACTTTCAAAGTTCCTTACGACTGCTGTTGATGCTGCCAAGAAAGCTGGCGAAGTATCTCTCTCTTTCTCTACAATTTGTATGTTTTTTTTAATCAATTTTAGAAATGGGATTTTTGATTATTGTTCATATTACAGGTAATTCGGAAAGGATTTTATCAAACCAAAAATGTGGAGCACAAAGGCCAGGTTAATCTAAATCTACTTTGAGATTCTGGGTTGTTTTTAATTTTTGCGAATGTTTATTTCTGACTTTTCATTTGTTTGTTATAGATTCAGTAAAATTGTAAGAAATTATGAATGTTCTGCCAAATTGTGATTTTTTTTGGTGATGTAGCATTGGCAATTTTTTTTTATCTAATTTGATAGATTGGAATGAATTGAGCTCTGGATAATGGACATTTTTCGATGTAGTAGAAAATTAGTTGTGTATATATAGTAATCTGTAGTGTTAGTCTTGGAAAATTGGAAATTCAGGCCTGTGTAGTTGTAGGAATGATGTTAACATAATGTAATCCTTTATTTTACAGGGTTTATGTGAATATCTGCTTAATTTCCCGTGATTATCGCCATTAGCTAAGCGATTTCACTATAATCATGAGATGAGCTCGAGTTTATGAGTTATACTTCGTAAAGAAATCTAAATGAAAAGTTAAACAATGAAGTGGAAAAAAACAATGTAATTATATCTAGTTTAATTTATGCTGAGGCCAATGCTTTTCTTTACAATAACAATTGTTGTAGATAGTAGTCTAATGATTACTAAAGAATCTATGTTCTGGTGGTGTTTGAAGGCAGTGAGAGAAGGGTTGAAATTCTTTTTATTTCAATGCTACATTCATTCAATGTATACCATGAACTTTGTTCCGAGTTTGGGGGGGAAAACTCCTTAAGCTGGCAGGAATGTCGTGGATATACACCTTGCCTTGGGGATAAATCATTGTAACCCAGATTGGTTGGCAATTAAAATGGGCTCATGAATGTAATAAGCTGCTTACATTTGCTAACCTGACTTTTGGATCTACCATCCACTTTAGTACTGCCATGTACCAATCTGCATGTGCCAAAAAAGGTGGCCTTTTGGGGATGGTGAGACGGTGTATAGTGTGCACGTTTGCTTGTGCATAATGTCTTGTGTTTCAGTTAGTAGGTCTATAATCTTGCTGTGTATTGTAGACGGTATAGGAAGAGTTAATTATTCGAATCAGGGGAAATGGATTGGTTGACTGATGTTAGTGGCTCGAGTTAGCAATTCACTATTTAATCGTGGGATAACTTGTCCAAGCAGGTGGATTTGGTGACTGAAACTGACAAGGCATGCGAAGAGCTTGTCTTCAATCATCTCAAGCAATTTTACCCTGATCATAAGGTTTTTCCTTTTCTAGTTCTCCTTGTTTCCCCTCCCCTGAATGTCTTATGTTGATTATATTTTATTTTTTATGTTAGTTCATTGGTGAAGAAACTACAGCTGCCTATGGTGCTACAGAGCTGACAGATGATCCTACATGGATCGTTGATCCACTTGACGGGACAACTAACTTTGTGCATGGGTAAATAGTTACAACCTTTAACTTTCTTGCTGAAGTTGATTCTTTCTAAGTTTAGTTGTTTCACTTGCTAACTCTCAGGTTCCCATTCGTGTGTGTCTCTATTGGTCTCACCATTGGAAAAGTCCCAACTGTCGGTGTCGTATATAATCCAATTATGAATGAGGTGAGAACCGCCAATCCTTGAGATTTATAATGCGGTTAAGACAGTGTGAGTCGATTGAGCACTATAAGAAATCACAATTGACCTTTGTATGTCCTTTTGACCACTCTACACGCAGGAAGTTTTTTTCTTGTAATATAGTAATTGAAGTTCAGATCAGAACTTGTGTAAGTTTTATGAACTGACATTTGGCTTTTTAGCTTTTCACCGGTGTCCGAGGGCAAGGGGCTTTTCTGAATGGAAAACCCATACAAGGTATGTGTAACTAATTCAGTTGCTAGCTTCTTGATTTCGTGACTTTCTTATTCAGAACCTAATCTCTCACCTTCGTGCAGTTTCTTCGAAAGATGAGCTTGTCAATTGTCTCCTTGCTACGGAGGTATTTTAAAAGACACTTTTCATTTATTTTTGGAAATTGTGTATACAGCCCTAAGGGCTAAAAAGCTAAATGCTTGTTTACAACCCTAAGGTTTGTATATAACATTACCGTTGATTTGTACTTTTGAATTACAACTTTTTCAATTGATTCCATAGTTGTGATAATTCTGGATCATCAGTGTTTCTTTTCAACTTCTCTGTTCTGTTTGCCAAGTCTTGTTAACTTTCTATCTTCGAGAACAGTTATATATATATATGAAGTGTCTTTTAGAAAGACTTCTCGTGTTGTGTTTCTTGAGTTAGATACTTGCAAATGTTGCAATTCATTATTGCCTTATTCTTATCAAGATTATCTTATACAATTCAACTTATGATTGTTTATTCAATTTGTTGGAGCAGACTGGTACAAAACGTGATAAAGCCACTGTTGATGCCACAACAAATCGAATTAATTCATTGCTTTTCAAGGTATAAATCTGAATTGTGTATTGTATATGGAGAAATAAGCATTTTGTGTAAGCTAAATATATTTCTCCTGTAATCAGGTGAGATCTGTAAGAATGTCAGGCTCCTGTGCACTGAACTTATGCGGTATAGCTTGCGGAAGACTTGATCTATTTTATGAATCTGGATATGGGGGTGCATGGTATAAAATCTTGTCTTGTCCTTGCTTCTTATCTATCATATTATATTCAAAGACCTGTTTTAACTCGATTAGGATTTGCAATGCTGAATATTTATGAAAAAAGATGCGCATGTTTTAACAGTTTTTCCTGTGTCAGGGATGTGGCAGCTGGTATTGTAATTGTTGAAGAGGCTGGAGGCCGTGTTTTTGATCCGTAAGATACAAACTTGTCGTGTTAAATTCTTGCATTTCTTGTTATTTCTTTTGTTTTGTTGATTTCCTCTTTGCCATTTAACTTTAATATAAACCATAGATCATGTTATATCTTCACAAAGATGTGTTGGTCCTTAGCATAAGGAGTGTTGACCAGCTTATGCTTGTGTTGAAAATCTAAGCTTAAGATGTGTTTAGTTCTCGTAAATAGTACACCTTCAATCCTAATTAATACTTCGTAAGTTCATAGGCGACATTTGATTTGGAATAGTTTTTAGGTAAAACGTCACAACTATTCTTCACTATTTAAATTCTTGTATTTCCATCATGCCAATGCTGTATGTACATTGAAATCTTATAAAAGTATTAGGGTAATATGAGAAAGCTCAAAAATTCACTTACTTTTTTGGAAAGTGCCTTGTTAAATTGAGACTGACGACTAAAATTAGACAGCAGCCTATCATTTTCAGACAGAGATAGGGAGTAATTGATTTATTGTGGTTGCCGTTGTTTTAATTTCAGGTCTGGTAAAGATTATGATATAACAGTCACGCGAATAGCTGCTTCAAACCCACTTATTAAGGATTCATTTACTGAGGCTTTCCGACAAGTTGAATGAGAGAACAAGCTAGCAAAACATGAACAATACATTTATTCTACAAACTTGGTGTCGCACCTTTCTGTCAACACCGGCATTTGGTATGGTCATTTTTTCCGTTTGAGCATTTGATAACTGTTATTTCTTATTGTTTACAGTCCAATTTCTAATCAATGTTCCTAATGTATTGAAACTGTTAAGAATCCTAAAGAAAAGAGTGTGACATACTTTAAAGCTCTTCGTCTCCTACTGATTTATCCTCTCTGCATTACATAAATTCTTTCTCTAACCATACATTTTCGCCTCCAAAAGAGAAAATATTCTGCTAAAAGATAAAGAAAGCTCATGTTAGAGATAGATTTAACTCAATGTACACGTTCATGCTTCATGGGCCTTCTTGTTAATTACTGCTGGTATTTTGGCTTGCTGCAACCTTGGTCTTCTTACTTTTCTTAACTATTTCCAATACTAACGCAACAACCCCCCATGGTGTTAGCACACAAAAGAAGGCGGCCCTCGCATCTATATCAGGTTTGAGGATAGTGAGACCCAAGCTTATGTTGAAAAGGCCGAGGATTACAGTTGCCTTCCCAACTAAGTGGTGGTACTTGCTCCAGTAGGATCTATATTTGTGGTCCTTGTGTGGTCTGAGCACAAGTGCAGATACCTGAAGATTATAGAGTCAAAACACGAAAAATAAGTACTCCTTTGGTCCCTAAAAATTATAAACCGGTGTCTATCCTAGCACTTATTAATTAATTATTACCATATTATAGTGGGTACTCCGTAGTGTAGTATTACCATATTAAAAAGTGTTGCAATTATTTTAAAACTAAAAAAATAAAATAAAAAGAGTTGTACTCGTAATTACTCTGTTGAACAGTGAATATGCGTATGTATAGTACCTGAAACGTGGCCATACAAAAGAGGGCAGTCCCGATCCGTTTATGGTCGACAAAATGTCTTAGGCCTTGGACGCTATTAAGTTTGAGACCAATGGCCCAGCCTGTAGCACCAAGCATGTATGCTGGGATTTGGCACCCAATATGAAGATAAAACCAATTTGAGTCATCTTTTGGGAAAAATTCCTTGTAATGTCTTGCTATCATAATTCCAAAAGGCATCAGTATTCCCCAGCCAATTATATTTAGTCACATGCGCCTGAAATCGAAGTTATGTTTGCATGAATAAAAAGAGTATAACTTTTACTTGTAGCTTTTATCAAGCATATAAACACATGAAATTACACAATAATATTTATTACTATTAATTCAAGATTCGTCATTGTTTTTTGTTTTTAATTTTCAATTTTCTTGAAAACTAAAAAATTTCAATTTAACTCACCTTTGGTATGCTTTTGGACGGAAAAGGGAGTATAGGTCTCAAACAGTGAAAAAAAAAGTGAAAGGTCCAAAAAAGGTGAAAATGGCAAATGTTAGACCTCAATCTTGTACTTAACTCTCCAATTTTCTGTTGCGTCAAAGTAATTTTAAGTTCATTATGTAATCTAATGACTCAAGGTTTGGTAAAAAAAAATAAAAAAAAACTCAAAAGGTAAAACCCAAAAATTATCTGTGCTTTCACATTTTCTTGTTATATTATGAAAAATCCGTCTATAGTTATCACAATTTCTATGTTTTTTTTTTCCGAGCAACATGTACGTATATTAATTATTTGGAAACTAAAATCCGAAAAAAAAACTCACAGTTCTTATCGGAGTAGGTTTTTCGGAGAGGATGATGTCACCGGAAAGAAGATTAAGGGAAGCCATGGAATGAAGGTTAGGGTAAGCATTATTATGCCATAGGGGTGTCCCATACTCGTTTATGAGCCCTTCTTGCCAAAGTTGATTAATAACTGTCTTATTTTTAGGGACCTTAATCGTTGCAAATATAAAAATCTCGTCTTTAATAACCGCGGCCTTTAGTCCCGTTACATCGAAACTCAAAGCACCCTTAGCAAGGCCCGTCTTATAGGTGGTAATAGGGGACGTGTATGCCAAAACCGACCCATTGTCACCACTGCGGTATGCCACCAAGGTTTGTGCTCCGATCATGGCTTTTCCCCTAGGATTTATAGCCCATGCAACCCACTTGGCCAAGGAGCCGGGTCCAAGACCGGGGTGGCGGTAGGCGATTTCGAGTATTCCCATTGAAGGGTTGTAGTTGTAATGTAGGGAGGAGTTAAAAAAGGGGAGATCAACACATTTTTTATAGCCATGTGGTTTTTTTAAAATTGGTGCAAATTTGTGATTGGCGCACGGAGTTGATTGTGCGTAAAAGGGTAGAGTTGTAACAAACAATATGAAAATGGAAGAAAACATATTTTACGTATATATGAAAATGATTTTGAAGTTTTTATAAAGTGTCAAAAATTATGGCGAAACAAGAGGATGTTACAGATTGTAATTTTACATACATTAACATTGTATTATCAAGACAGCTATAGAGTTGAGGAATCCAGGATTATTATGATTGTTTAATCCATGCATGTAATATAATATTAAATAAAAAGGACTAAATATAGTGTTATAAACTTAGCATTATATATCATGTACTAAGCTAAATTGCTAATGAAAGCATATTAAAAATTTAATATGCTTTGATCATTAATAAAAACATTTGAATATCAAATGATCGAAATTAAAAGTGCAAAGCACACCATAAGGGTGTAGCTTCAAAATAGAACATATTCTGTTATGTAAAAATTATGTACTTAGCTTGCTTTGTATATATAGTTATCTATTTATTCGAGCACTTTTATATAGCTATGTGGTATGCATGCTCCGTATCACTCCAAATCTCCAATATAATTTGATTAATTGTTATTTGCTATATGTTGATTAGAATTTAGAAAATGATTAGAATGTATGCATAGACCACAAAAAAGTTCCTATGATGTGGTGGGTAAGAACGATGATCAAATAGATAAATAAAAAAATTTGTTGATTTAGAAATTAGATATATATTCGGATATTCTTGACAATTGGAGGTTACTAGATTAAAAAAAAAAAAAAGAAGTTGATTATACCCTAATTAGGAATCACAAACAATTCTCCAAGTTGTTGCACTTTTTTTTGCACCGATACTTAATTGCATGCATTGCCAGTCGCTATAAAGGTAGTTTATTTTCCTAACAAGTGTTCTTTATGTATTACAAACGTAAACCTGTTACAAATTAATTAAATCTATTGCAAATTAAAGAATAATATATCATCGTCTTTAACCTAAACATATACTCATATATAATATAAAAAAATAAAAATAAAAAATACAAAAAAACCCATGAAGTAATTAACCATACAATAATACATTATTACCTCTAAAAATGGCTTCAAAAATGTCGATCTCCTAAAAAGACGAAAGAAAAGAAAGCTCATACATAAACTAGACTTAAATCAATGTTTGTGTGCTACGTTCGTTCATGGTCCTTGTTATTAAACAATACTAAAATGCTCCGTATTGTGCTAGTATTTTCATCTGTTTTTCACTTATCTGCAACATCGGACTTCCTTCTTTTGTTAACAATGTACTCGAGCACAACATCAACGACCACATATACCAGAAGCACACCCAAGTATGCAATCTTCCAACCTAGAGCAGGATCGAGAAGCTTGAGACCTTGCAATATATTGATGGTGCTTAATGACAGTATCAAGTACCCAATTGTATGATGGTATTTGTTCCAGTAATTTCTATATTGGTGTTCTATATGTGGCCTAATTAGAAGAGCAGACACCTGAAAAAAATATTGTACACAAAACACAAATTAAATCTTATAAATTATGGAACCTTAATTGTTTACATACTATAAGTATAAATGTATGTTATGTATGTACCTGAAGCGTGGCCATACAAAAGAGAATGATGCCGATCCATCTGTGGGATAGGTGGAAGAACTCGTGGGAGCCGTTGCTGATTTTGAGACCGGTGGCCCAACCAGCCACTCCGACGATGTAGGCTGTGAGTTGACACCCAACATGAAGGTAGAACCAAGTAGGGTCTGCTGATGGGATAATAGCCTTCATATGCCTTGCTATTATTATTCCCAGAGGCATCAATATTCCCCAGCTTACTACATTCATCACCCCATGCGCCTAGATCAAAATATTATTGCGTATAACGTAGGGTGTAAGATAACATAAATATGTAACCAATTTGGGACGTACATATGTATATACTGCAAAATTATACTTGTACAAAATTATAGATGTCTAAACATAACATACAAACATAATAATACTTAATTATTGTGTTATGTTTTGCATTTCCACATTTATATTCTGTTTTCACGTTTATCTAATACTATAATGTTCGTTCTTTCTCATCTTTAATTGTTTCCCTTGGTCTGTAGTTGTAATAAATGTATGCACTTATACATTATTAGGTAACAACATAATGGATTATTAAAACTAAAACATAGGCTTACATATTTCCATGAAGAACCAAGACCTGCGGCACCAGCAGTAGGAGCGAGGACACCAGAAAGAAGGTTAAGGGAAGCCATGGAACGAACATTAGGCCCCGAAAGTGGATGCTGCTGGGCAGTCCCATCCGCGGAAAGGGGCCCTTCTTGCCAAACCTGGTTAAGCACCGTCCCATTATTAGGGACCTTAATCGTTGCAACCATAACAATCTCATCATTAACAATTTCGGCCTTTAGTCCCGTTACATTAAAACTCAAGTCACCCTTAGTAAGTGTGGTCGCATAGGACGTAATAGGGGACGTGTATGCCACAACGGACCCGTCTTTGGGACTACGGTATGCCACCAAAGATTGTGCACCAACCATGCCTTTCGCGGTAGGGTTAAGAGCCCATGCAACCCACTTTGAGGAGGCCCCGGGTCCCATACCGGGGTGGCGGTAGGCAATGTTAAGTGTTTCCATAGAAGGATTGTAGCTATAATGTAGGGCGGAGCTTAATACCGGGAGATCAATACAATTTCTATAGCCATTTGGTTTGTTTAAGGTTGCGGCGAATTTGTACTTAGTACATGGAATAGATTGAGCATTGGAACGTAGTGTTGTTGTAATTAACAACATAAAAATTAATAAGTATCTATTTTCCATAATAGAATTATATGATGATTTTTTTTTTTGGTGGGGTTAGAGGAAAATTAGGAAAGTGTTAAATGTAAGGTGAAAGAAAAGGAAATTGTAGACAGTAAATCTGCATATAATATAAAGGAGAGAAGATAAGGGGAGAGGGATTTTAGGACAACTTCTAATTACCTACCACTAATGTGAATGTCAGGTTTTTACCTAATAATATTATGTTATAAACAAGAAACAAATTTTATTGTTTGTATTCTTGTTTATTTGTAATCTTAAACATTCAAAAATTGAAACAGCTAGATTATCGGGCGGTTTTATTAATATGATTGTGTGGTTGAAGATGAGGAAAAAATCTTACCCTAATTATTTGATTGGGTGTAGGATGATTAGTGTCGTTTTAAACTCAATAAAGAAAATTACATTAGAAAGTCCTCCGTAACCAACAAATTCAATTTTCATGAGGATATCTAATGGGTTAATATTAATGTAGAAGAGACAGAAGAACAAATATATAGTCATTATTTAAAACTAATTTTGACCTTATAAATGGCAGGTCGGCATTAATTTACCAATGTGTAATCGGTTACATGACTAGTTTCTCGATCTAAACACATAACGATAATCTCAATTATCGAAAGTCCATAGATGAATTTAGATGTCTTCGATAATATGGTCTGATTTCCTTTAACGTAATTGATGATTAAGAGGCTATATCATGCAACACCTTTGAGGGTTATTCTTTTTTGTTATGCAACACCATTGACTCTTTGAGGCTTTAATGACCATGTTCTGTTCTGTATACCTTTGAACCTTTCCTCCTAATCGTTCCTATGAATTGAAAGACCCTTATTGTTTTGAGAACTGGGCCATGATGGGCCTTTGGTAAAAAAAAAATCCTTAGTCCATTATATATATGGGCTTTTGGTACTACAAATACAACTCCATCAATCAAAATTTTAAAAGAGAAGTGTAATGTCTAATGTGTAAATTTTTTTAGGAAATAAATTGCAAATGTGCAATTAAACAAAATGCTGCAAGGAATTGGGCTTTGGTCTATATGCAAGTAATAAATAACTAGATCTAACCAAGAACCTCAAGTGTATCATGCAGTCATTCACAAGATACAATCGGTTATATACAGAGTTATCAAACACAAATTCTTCAAAAAAACGGGTGTACGTTAATTTTTTGTAAGATGAGCTAAAGTTATTATAAAAATATTTAAAGTTACCCTTTATACTACAAAAGTTATTATTGTTTTAAATAATAAATTTTATTTCACAAAAAACTTATAATGTATTAGATTAATCATATTAGTCTTTATAATATGTAATCATGAATTTATAAGAAATTACACATTAAAATAAAATTCAAATCAACGACAAATGAAAAGTTACCCTTTAAATGGTTAAAGTTACCATAAAATTAGTTAAAATTACCCTCAAACTGACTGTCTTACAATAAAATTAACGTACACTCGCCTTACACAAAACTTATTGACTATCAAATAAGTATTCTCGATTATATTATTTACTTGTAAATAATAAATGGCAACATCTCTATATGACTATATCAGGCAAGAAACTTCATAAATTTAACAAGTTGTAGTATAAAACTTTTCACATTACCTTAATGATACTCTTGAGTGATTTTAATAAAACACAAGAAGAAAAGGACAGTGCTGAACTGGTGGAGTTGAAAAAACTCACAAAATTGACATTTAAATTAAATATTATTTTATATAATTTCAAATCAAAGTATCAAACGCAACCTGTTATTTAAGAACAAAAGTTCTAATATGAACAACAACCACTTGTCTCGAATGTTTCATGATCATGATAATAATCATGACGTTAAACAGCTAAGAGGATAAAGAACACAAATTTAAACTCTATATACTATTTCACATTGATATTGTTTTTTTTCTTCAAACTTCGACTCACTTATTATTTATATGGCCATCTAAGTGAATTAGCTTTGATTATATTAGGTTTTACGAGTATATAAAGGGAAAAAAAAATAACATATGCAAGTTTATTAGATGTATCTCAATGTGAATTTTCATAATTCTAAATTTTATATAATCTTTATTTATATACACTCAATAATATTAATGATCAAAGATATGTCTTAGAGTACGGAATAGCAAGTATGTAAAAGTCGAAGTGAGTCAAACTTTTAATGAGGAAGACGCATGCATGTATTTTGATGATGAGTAGCAGTTTGAAAATAGGCGGTAGCTAAGAGGAAGGGGTCAGAGTGTGTATGTCACAGTGGGCAAGCGGGCAAAAGCTCAAGTACAAGGAATTATGCACTGTCCGCCACTAAATTTAGGATGTTGAAGAAAATAAAATCATACAAACTGATAAGGTTTGGTCCCATATTTTTATATCCTTAGCCCTCCAACTGTTTAATTTCCTTGGACCATCTTCATTTTCCCTCCACAATATTTATGAACTAGTAATTGTTTGACCATTCAAGGTCTTAATCAAGTTGTTGGTATGATATGATGTATAATAGTTGATCATTCTAGCTAGTGGTGTATTACTTAGGCAATCAGTGCGCAGTTGGCTTGTAATTAGTTTACTTATTAAACGGTTTAGGTTTACCCACTTGATGTTATTAATTAGGTTGTTCATATGGGTTGATCGACGTTGTTAGTTACAGAAATTTTTCAATTGTTTATGGCTTAATCAAAGTCGAAATAAACGTTTGTTACTCCGTATTATAAAGAGACGGAGGTGAGCCAATGACAATAAATATTTATTTTTTACATTTATTTGTAGTAAAACTCTAAAATGCTGACATATTGATCGTTAAAAACAATAGAAAATGGGTGGGTTGGGTGCTAGACCTCTAGTACTAGATGTTGATAACAACAATACTAATGAGGAATTGAAAGGGATGGAGGTTGCCTAAGCCCCACGAATAGCCATTTCAAATATATCAATCTACATCACAATCCCAAGGGTTCCACAATCATTTTTTTCTTTGCAAAACCATATAGAAAATCAAGGCTCAAGCAAAATCGTGAGGCTAATAACACAATTAATTGGATTGCTAGTATCCGATGACTAGTCACTTCAAAATAAAGAATAGTATATCCCATTTTGCAAGTATAAAAATATGTTTTTTTTTTTTTTTTTTTTTTTTTTTTTATGGTGTAGAAAGAGCCACAGGCCCAAAAGGTTATTTGATGTAGGCGAGATTTAATATCATGTCTTGAATACCCTTCAACATTTTAACCAACTTAGCTAGTTAATCATCCACGACATGCAAGTATAAATATTTGTACCTTTGGCCTTTAAAGTTTGTCAAAGCACATTAAAAAGTAAAAATATTAGTAAAAAATTTAGCACATTAATATTTTGAAAATAAATGCCATTTATATTTTCATAATTATATAAAGCTCTTAATTTAGGATGGCATCAATAAATGTAATGTAAAAACAAGTGACCCATTAAAATTAGGACAATTGTCTATTTACATTATTAACTTGAGAGGGATTGAGTACTTTGTTTTTCATCGTTTAATTTCCACTCATATTGTATTGGCTTAGTTGTCACACCAATGCTTATTGCAAGTTTACAACCAAATAATTCTTTCAAAAATAATTTTCTTAAAAAAATGTGGTAAGTAGTAATCAACTCAAGCAATTAATATAACTATATAAGTGATTATTGTACGGGGTTTACTAAGTAGTGGTGAAAAAAATAATCAAGTATTCACAAAAAAGACAGCTTTGGATGCCACCATGGAAAGAGGCTTGACTTAGAGTGCTAATTTGTGTCAAAGCCTAAGAGCAATTAATCAAAGTAATGCAGTAGTCCAAGTCTGCGGGATAATCATTAAGCTAAGTAACTAGCTTTTTCTCTAAAAAAAATGGATAATATAATTTAATCCATGGTAATGATATAATGTAGAGCGGGAAAAGAAAATGTATCGCATGAAATTTATTAGATTCGTATTAATGCGTACTTAGCTTTTCACCACAACAACAACAACAAAGCCTTAGTCCCAAAATAATTTGGGACATACTTAGGTTCGTACTTAGCTTTTCACTAATCAAAAGAAATTTAGCAATCTATAAACGTAAATACTGTAAAATAGACATGGTTGGATCTAGCGTAGCATGATCAGATTTTTTTTCTGAAGGAAGCAAGTACTTGCTTAAACAACTTAAATTAAAAAAATCTTTAACACATACTTGTAGCATTTAGCAATGCATGAATAATCGAAAAATATATGTTGATCAATGTAAATTAAACAACATTTAATTTAATCGAATGATGTATATTTTTTTAGCTTCTATGCTGTTGTAACTTGTAAGACTAGTAACACTTATAAGGGTTGTATACGATGATTCTAATGTAGTCTTATGACTTTTGACTACCACAATGTATTAAAATGGACGGTAGAGATTATTTGTTTTTATTTATTTATTTTTTATTTATTTTTTTTTACTTTAATTAAAAATAATTTTTTGAATATTTTAAATATATTTATATGTTCTAGAAATTATTTTTTAATATTTTTGAAATTCTAAAAATAAAAAAATATATATATAATAATTAAAAAGTGATTTTTAATTAAAATTACTAATTAAAAATAAATCAAAAAACAAACAATTTCAACCATCCATTTAAAAAAATTGTGGTAGTCAAAAGTAATAAGACTACATTTAAAATTTTCGGGGTTGTATATATCATTTTTCTATATATAATTAAAGTAGGAGATTAAGTGTCAATAAAATATACAAGTAGATTACAGTATGTGTTGTAATTATGACGAACATGCTTTATTTTTCACTTAGGAGGAGTCAAATTTGGTTCTAAGTTTTTGTGCATCATAAAAAATAAAGTTAGTGTTTACCTGTAAAAACATCTTAGTTATCACCATCATTATTTTTTTTTGAAATAATTATTAACCACACAATATAAAAGGATATTATTGCTTGGTTTGGACTCTATAATTTCATTTCAATCTTTAATTATATTCTTTGACAAAATGGTGATGTCAAGTAGTAGCTTTAGTTTATGTGTCACTCTCGAATGGCTTTTCTTTTTTTGATCTCCATTAATTTAATTACGTGAGCAATATAATTATGATTTATGCATTCGTTTATCTTTATCAGTCAACCTTGAATTATCTCTTTTTCTTTTAATCCTTAAGGGACCTTCTTAGAACTTACCTTCATATATCGACAAATTCATTATACAAATACATACGGAGTATACAAATAAAATCTTTGCACCAAAAGAATAATATCATCTTGGGCTCCTAGCCTTATACTTCGTATTATTTGCACCGATAAGATCTCAGTCTTAATTAATTTATCCCTACTTTTTAAAAATTTGAGTTAACTTTTGTGAATAGTACGATTATATCCTTTAGAAAATTAATTTACTTATTTGTCCTCATTAATATTAA